GGAGTTCTGGCTGCGGCTTCTGCCAGGAAGCTGGATAAAGGCGGTTATTCCTTGCAGGAACATGTGGCTGTGGCTTGTGTGTCTCCGGATCCTGTGGGCTTGGACTTGGACTTGGCTCTTAAGGAGCTTCTCAGCAAAGAAGTCCCTGTCCTCGCTGCATCCGTGAAGTCCCATGAAACAATCCAAGTGGAATCTTGGATCGTGGCGGCGTCGCTGACATCCTGGAAGTCTCTTGGGGAGAACCAGTATAGTGTCTGAAGCTGCCCGCCTTAGGGGATACCGAGTGCCTCCGTGCTTTACGCACCTCTCGCTCTCCTACGGAATTGCTTGGGACTTGGAACAGAATTCTCATCTGCAAGCCGTCAGCAGTGCGGTTGAAGCTTTCAGTCCGCGCGTGTTGGTTGTTAACCTCATGAAAAAGGAAATGCACCCGGTCAGGGAAGACTCACCGTGTGTGGGTCGACCTCAAGCTACACTGCCGCCTGCGCAATCCAGGACGCCCAGGCGGCGGTCTGGATGGGACGCCCCTGCAGGCGGCTCCTAAGGCAGGGAGGAGAAACCGCTCGGTGGCCAAGAAGGCCACTATCGCTGAGCCGGAAGTACTGTGTGGCGAGCAGTACATTGAAGTTCACATTCGCGCCTACTCCTTTGATAGCCCCGGCTATCTCGAGCGCTGGAGCTTTCGCTCAAGAATGGTGGCCGAGTGCGCCTCATCGCGGATCAGTCCCAGTGTAGCCGAACGAAGCAGCAGTGGCAGGCCTTGAAGCGGCTCGAGAGGCACGGCGCTGCGGTTCGCGTTGCGCAGGGCGGGTCGATCAAGTCAGCATATGCTGACGACAGCCGCGATGTGCGCATAGGGAGCAACTTGCGTGGTCTGCGTCACACAAAGTCGATCTTGTTCGAGGGCCCTGGCGGGCCAGAACTGGTCACCGGCTCTGTGAACTTTACTACTAGCTCTAAGGCTAACGCCGAGCTAGGGCTCAAGGTCAGTCTGCCTGCGGGCAGTCCTGCCGCGCAGACTTGGCCGAGAGCTCCTCTGTTGAGTAGGCGGCAGAGAGAGGACCTCGCGCCCAGCGCTCCATTCCAAGCACCTCCAAAGCTTCTACAAACCGCTGAGGCGGGCCGGGAGGCCGCCCAGCGGCCTTTCGCCTGCCCATCTGGGAGGTGTGCATGAAAAGCAGCTTACAGGGTGTAAGTGTGCAGCCCTAGTTCAGGGATGAATGGAGCGTGGTCCTGCATGACCTAAAACTGCATGCTTTCGCAAGTAAATGGTCCGGCAAGACCTAAAACTGCGGCCTTGCCCAAGTGGCTTTACGTCACGGGCTTTTTCTCACGCCTGGCCGGGCATTTTGGAATGTCTCTTTCTAGGTAAGTCCTCGCTTGCTTCGTGCAAGGAGGCGCCTGCAGCTTCGGAAGTGCGCCGTCATGTTCACTTCCCAAACCCCGTGCCAGAGCCGCGGCTGCTACTGCGTGGTTCCACTGAACCTTTAGCGCCGCCTTGGATGCTCTGGCGGGCCTTTTTAGGCCGCCGCCCAGCCAGTGCTCTTTTGCAGGCCTCCGTGCTGGAGCCTGCCGAGGACCGTGATGGTCCCTGCCCGGCTCATGGGATATGCCACTCCGATTTTGGCATTGGGGTCCCGTATGTCCGTGGCTTTTGTAAGGCTGCATGTGCCGAAGCGTACTATGCGCCGCTGTCTGTTTGACAGCTAATTATCTGCATGGCGGGCCATATGGTCGCCGCAGAGCGCTTTGGACACAGAAGTCGTTTGTGCTCTGCACGGCCATCTATGGCTGCCCGCCTGGCTTGGGAAGAACCTTGCCATAGGCCCAGCCTCAATGCAGGCTTCGCTATAAGAGCACCGTCTGCGTGCTGCCAGGATGGCGCCTGTAAGGCCATGCACGGCCCCACACAACGTGCCTCTCCGCAGCACGCGGGCCTACGGGCCGCGGCGACTTTGCTCGCGGTCCGTTGTCGGACGCGGCTACCTGAGCGCTGCTGGTAGGTAGGTAGGTAGTTAGCTTTTTAGAGTAGCTGCCGTAGCCCTG